TAGTTGCTCGGTAACAGTTTTTGTAGAATAAAAGAAGCAGATTTTATTTAAAGCAAAGGAAAGCTATTTACCTATGGAAAAAATTGTTTTAAGAGAAAGGTTTATTCTAGATGATAACAAATAGAAATTTTAGATACATCTGTAAAAGCCCGGCCATTTTAAATCCTTTTTAGCTATTATATTTTGTTCTCGTTTATGTTTTTATGTTTTTTACATTATATTTTTTAGCTATTATGTAATTTGTCGATTGCCACTTTATGAAATTCGAAGAGTTTTGAAATTGATTACTTCAATCTTCGAGCTTATTTGTTTTTTAATCTTTTAATATGTCTGGTACCTAAACATCCAAGTCAAGTAAACTCAAGTAGCAAATCTAATTTCATTTCAAAGTTAACCGAAATTGGAAGGATTTTGATTTAAGATTCTGGATCGAAATTTCGCACATTTAGTAGCACGTTTACTTGATAAATGACCTTGAGTGGGCAACTTAAAAAGAAGTAAACTTTGAAAAAGAGATGCAAAAGTTGCAGCAGGACATGTGTTTTCCAAAGCATTTTAAAAGTTAATAAATACTTTGAATGTTCAAGATGCTGATCAACAACAATTTTAACATGTTCTTCTTCGTCAATATTTAGAATAATGTGGTAGATGCAAAGGGTACAAAAACAGGGCACAAGTTCACCAAAGTCATTCTATCAGTTGATACATAATTTGAAGGCTCAAGATGCTATCTTAATCAACAATAATCTTAATATTTCCTTATCTTAATCGACAATAGTTGGATCATTGCCTTCTTCTTCATCTTTACTCGTTGGAAATCATTTTCTTACCAATCTTTCGCCATATTGTTCTTCATCTGCGACAACATTGTAACGACATTGTCATTCACTGTTATCATATCACAAAGGCCATACCATAAGCTACTTCCTCGGTTTCCACTGCAGCCATTTCATGTATCAGTCGCTTGCATCACCTTTCTGGAGCATCACACGAATTGATAGCAAGAGTGAAGAGAATCTACATCTTTATTGTACTCTACGTAACCACGTTTATCAAGCCTTTAGATATGAGTTGATTTGCTGCAATTTGCTCCCAGTCTTTGTCAATTTGTTTGCAAGAGGTTTTTTCTGTTACCCATCTTTGCGTACCCATCTCATTTCTGTTACCCATCTCTGTTACCCATCTTTATCCAAGGTTGCAGCTTTCAAACCATGTACACCACTGATGTTTTAAGCTGCATTTGAAAGCTTTATCAAAATGCATCCAGTAGTTGCAGCAAATTTGCTGGCCAAGGGGGATTTTGTGGGTACAACAACAAACCTGGAAGCATGTTTAGGTAAAACCGGAAACCCAGACTTAAATTTGGAAAATTAAAAAATCCATAACTCGATATTTTGCACGTTTTCCAGTAAAAAACGAAACCCCTTGACTACAATTGGCCAAGTCCGGAACCAATGACTTTTCCAACATGTGCTTTTTCTTGCAATTATGCATCCATATCGTCTTCAACGTGACCATTCGCTGAGTTCATAATTAAAAGAGAGTTGGTTGAATAAAAAAGCACCTCTTCTACACATCCACATTCCTGGTCTGTAGTTTAAAACGTAAAGTCTCGCCTTATTGTACCAAACAGGGATCCCAAAACTTGTATATCCTAAGAGATTTCTCCAAATAGTGCTTCTACTCTTTGTTATCAGGTAGAAACATATTTTACAACGGTCACTTGGAAAAGAAATGGATTGGAGGTCCCTTGTATTTATAAAATTAAAAAATCCATTGACAAAATATCTCAAGTACAAAAATTACATAACTGAGTGTGGACAAAGTGGAACTCCAAAATGGAGATAAGGGCTGTTAGTTATTGTGTTTACATTAACTTTTGCAATGTCTAGCATGTTAAAAAGTTGCTTATCAGTTCCCTACCACTTTTCAAGCTTTAATTAATACTACATTGTAAATAAAATGACCAGATTTTAAAAGCTGCATTGCCGTTGTTGTCATCTTGACATTGTGCTGTTATTCGAATACTAGCGCCTGTGCTGTTATTAATCAAAGGGGGCGATCATATCTGGTGTAATAGGGTAACTTTGGCCACATGATTTCCCCACGTGAAAGTTTTAGAATTATGATGTTGATATTTAAACATTATTCAGAGACAGATTAATATTTACATTAGTGCTTTTCAGTCAGCGACGGTTTTTGCGGGGTGTGTAGGGGGTGCGACACCCCCCCAATGTTTCTGTGTCCTTCGGTAAATTTTGCTACAATTGGGTAAAAACAATTTTGTATAAACAAAATAACGCCACTATTTTACATGTATTTATCATCTTACCTTTGGTACCTTAAAAACCAGGTGTTTCCATCATTTTCTAATAACATGATGGGTGTGGTGCCAAAATCCAATTAGTATATTTCCAGTATCCTAATGGGTGTGGTACGAAATTCTGATGAAGTCACACCCCCCCCCCCCCAAATCATTGCTTCCTTCCATCCCTGTTTTCAATACTTAAAATTTTACTACTAATAGCTAATTTGCACTTTAAGAAAATCGGAAAGATTTTAAGACTCTGCAGAACTTTTATGCATCCCTAATTGGATGTAGGTATTCTGCAAGTAGCTCCTTTTTCCTTATTCTTTAACTTTTTTATCACAACTTTTAATCAATGTTGTTAGTGGTGGGAAGAAGGTATTTGTCAGCATGCCCAAATTAATTAGGCCTAGGTCGAGGTAAGCCTAGTAAATATTTTCCCTGTAAATCTCAGACCAGCAAGGGCTCTATTTCCTTCCTCTTTTGAAATACCTGCAGCTGCTTTCTTCAAACGATATCAAATAGAGACTGGATGAATGTTGAGTGTTATATAAGAAAATTTTTCATCTGCAGTCTTTGTTTTGAAAGCAATTTCAGATTTTGAGTGGCTGTGTTATAGGCCAGGAATATTTCCATGACATTTGTTATACTGCTAGTGTTCATAGCTATTCTAACTTTATAAATAATTTGCAATTGGCAGACCACACTTAAAGTTTAAATAAAAAGTTTCTTACCTTCGCTATCATCGAGACAGGAATTGAGCCAGGTGACTTCAGCAGAACTTGCTAGTAAACTGAACGGAGTTCTCTAGGACAATGTATCTGTTAAACTCAGCTTAATTTGTAACACTTAAGACATTTAAACCTTTGTGAATCAGGCATAGTCTTTTCCGTAGTGATGTCAATACACGAAGACAGCTAACTGGCAAGTTTTGGAAACGCAAAGAGCATGTTTACAATGTTCACGCTTTGGCCATTTTGAGCGAATTTACCCGCGAAATTTGATGCTACCGCAAAGCATTGTAGGTAAAATATCAATGATCGTTTCAAAACAATGTTACCTAATGTATTTCTCTAATGTTATACTTCAGGCAGTACGTAATGCTATAATATTTTCGCAATGAACTTGATATAGAAACGGTAAATAAACTTTAAAGTATGAGGAGAATTCTGAAAAAATTTCACAGAAACAGATGACTTGTAGATGCTAAGGGTGCTTTTGGCACTGTTGGTTATCATGACAAAAGTTTTCCCAAATATGAGTCAACGAACTTTTTTGCCACCGTTTTCTTCTCTAGACAAGATGAAATCAAAGAGTTGTCCTTTAAGGTCCCTTTATTAAAAGCATTATTTCACTAAATAAAAGTTGCAGTATACAACAAAATGTTATAAAAAATAAAAAATGTTGGAAGTTCTTTCCAGATATTTGAGACTATGGCAAGCGACGGGCCTGACTTGCGATTATTGGAGCAGAAACCGAAATTTAAGAATTTTTTTATAAAAAAAACATATTACAGGTAAATGCAATGCAGCCAAGGAAAAGCCTTGGCAAACTCTACATTTACAGGTTCCTGGCACGCAGTGGTGCCGTGTGGGGGGCTCGGCCCCCCTTGTTAAAATTCAGAGCCCCTTCAGCGAGTGAGTTAACAACCCTTTATTATACTTTAGATTTCACACGAATGAACAATTTCTTATCAGTCTTTTTCTGTCGTTGAATAGCTTGGATGATTTCTACACACAGGGGAGGGTCTTGGGTGTGGTAACCATTTTGCATACCTAGCTCTCTTCCTAGCTTTGTAGGATGGCGCCCCTGCCTGGCAGTCAGTGATCACTGCAAATTATTCAAGTGCAATTAACAATTCGCTGAAAAAAGGGCAGCAAAGAAGCGGCATGGCACCAGCCCAAAAGTGTTCTTCACATTGTAATAACAATTTTTTCGATCTTTTGATCATTATTTTTTTAGATTCAATTTGATAAATTTTTTTAATTGTTTGTTTGATAAATTAAAATAGAATTTAAAAGGCTGCAAAGTGTTAAAAGCAGTAGCAAATTGAGAAAAAGAGATTTTATTTCAATCTAATAAAGGATATTTTGTTGGCAATAAAATCTTTAGCAAATAAGCTTTAAATCAGTGATCATTCTGCCCTTCTTGATATTAATAGCTTTTTTGAGAAAATTATTTTGAGCATTGTAACTACATAATTATCTATTGATGATGGCGAAAGATGGCTTTTAATAAGGTGACAGTCGAGGTTTTGCTTTTTAATGTGGTTATTCTGTGAAGTAATTTAAATTTAAGACTAAGTCTGATAAAATCATGTCCAGAACTACAGACGATGACCAAATTTTTGTTGAAAATTTCATGCTTATGATATCGGAGGTTATGTATCAGCTTTTAAACCAGACATCCATAATAGTTAAGTGAAGGTATTATTGGGTGATAAAGAGGCTAGAAAAATGGTTAAAGAAGTAAAAGAGACAATGTCTGGAAAATCATAAAACTAAGTACTGGTCAATCACGGTTTAAAATACAGTTATAGCACAATTGCAACCAGAAAATTCACTTCAATCCAACATAGCAGTGTAAGAAGGGAGTCGAGAGAACTTTCCTGTTTATTCCCTCATGCCTAAATATATTTTTCATTAACTCTTTACAAAAATGACATTGAAGAAAAGAAAACGGAATAAGAAACTTTTTGTGCATGGACAATAAAGATATTTGTATGCGCATATACGTTCTACGCCAAGAATACGATATAATAAATAAATTAACAATTAAAATTTATTCTTTTTTCTTCTCATACATAACAACAATGAGACAGAAAGGGTTTCATACGTCTAAATTGTTAAAACATGGGTTTCACGTGAAGTAGACACTTATAAATAATTTCTTATAACCTTCAGTCATATTTAATGCAATGTAAGGGATCTGATAAATGGGCGACAAGTGCAGTGACGAATATGGAGGATCACCTTTGTACTAAAAAGGTCATTGCTCAACGAAAACCTTATCAAATCTATAACGATAGCCCCTGGAATGTAGATGTGAGCAATTCATATGGACGTAGAAGGTATAAAAACTTGGTATCATGTCCTTAGAGAGAGAGAGAGAGAGAAGCCGTGGCTTGAATATTCATCACTTTCTGTGGTATGGAGATAGGGTGAGGGGATACATAAAATACTGTTTGAAGCATAAGTAATAATTAAACCGAACTGAAAGTTTTAAATTAACAACAGGTGAGTTTCGCCAAAATGGCGTCGTCGAAAATAATTTACGGCTATTTGCGATATGGAGCAGGTTTGTAAGGGGGGAGCTTAAAAAATGGGCTCATGACCCACTAAAGTTTTATTTCACCAACAAAGCCTAGTTTTGACTGTCAAAAAACTCTCAGTGTTAGTATCGAAGGAAAGGATTCGTGAAAATGGGTAAGGGATATAACGAAGATTTCGCTGGTATGGGCCTACTAATTTTAGCACTGAATACTAAAAGATGCCTTTAGAGCGGGACAGGTTGTTTTTAAGGCTTTGAAACGAGCCCGTTAATAATCTATTGCAAAAAACCAATAGCAAACAAGCTGACTTGAACTCGACAGCCTAAGCTCAGCACTCCAATCTCAGATGTTTTGGGTAGGGAAATGCAATGCCAAAGAAGGGTAAAAGGCTAGGTCACTCTCGTTGGCTTATCAAGCTTCGGAAAACGAATAAGTGGGAAGGTAATTAAAAATTTAAAGACTTCTTTTTTGAGATTAGACACATTGTAAAATATTGAAGGTCAGTGTAACTGAATAATAAATTATTGGGAGTTTTAAAGAAGCATTATACTTTATCCACATTTGTACAACAGGTGGAACGGCTAACCAACTCGTTGGCTATTGGTTTCACACTTCTTAAGATATACGATCTTCCAATAATTCTAAATATCATATGGGTCGCATTAACCAAATTCAGAATGACCGTTTCCACAATTAATAGTCGATTTTCACTTACGTCTGGGGCAGTCGTCTGGCTAATTGTAAAGCGGTACTTGATTGAAGAGCAGAGAGGTGACATTTAATATGTAACTCGGGTAACTCCGGTGACAATTAATATATTTCTTAAAGAAGAATGCTGTATCTGAATTCAGCTAAGACACGCATTTACCTCTAAAACGCATCTATTAGACTGTTCTTGGAAAGACTACAAGCTATTTGGATCTGGATTGTCTAATTTTGTACTTGATTTGTATTTCTCAACTGTTGAAAATTTCATTGTTTTGAAAACTAGCATTCAGGGCTCCAATAGACGAGTTTTTAGAGTAAGAAGACGCAGTCTAGATAACATGAATTAAGCTTCGATCGTCTAGAAGATTTCACAATGCCAGATCCTCAAGCTGCATCTCCAAAAAAGAAACTATACAACCTTATCAATATATGAACAATTCTCGGCTGATATTCTACATTTCTTGTTTCAATAATTTCACGGGGTATATCTAGAATTTTACTATATCTCCATATCACCCTAGCTGCGCTACAATGAGTCTGCTGAAGCCCTACCCGAAAGAGAAATTTTTGCATATTGTATCTTCTTTGAACAAGCATGTGTATAGATTATTATGCTTTTAAAATAAGGAAAAATTGGGAAATATAAGCCTAGGGTGTCCAAGGGTATCCAAGGAGGCCCTGGGGTAGCAGTAATAATACTCTTAAGCAAGTGGAAGATGTTGGCAAAAACGGTGCAATGTTTAAGTCGTAGGCCTCATTTGAGCTTAGAAATGGGCAAGCGGAGATATATAGTGAAAATAAGCATCCAAGATGGATGACATTTCGACAATGTCAAATATTAAGTCTTCATATGCAATAGGCACTACTATACTAAGACTGTACGAGTCAATTGCATTGGCAATTAGAACACGGTGGCATTCGGAGGAGAGTTAGTTCCCCATCACCTTTGAAGCGAGCCATAGTGTGCTCCATCACCAGCAAAAATTTCTGGCACACCTTGCCACAGTTGATCTTGACTGCCTTCAGCACCGCCAGCAATGTGGAAACAATCTTCGTGAGTCTCTGGCTGCTTCTGGCAAGCAAAACCCACCGTTAAGTGCACCCGACTCGTTACGTCGAATGGTCTCGATCGATCGCATCGTGGTCTGGGTGTACACCAAAGAAACGAGAGAGTCTCCGTGGATGAGTTCTACTTGCGAATTCTGAGGAATTTCGCTCTAGAGCAACCAGACCTTGACTCTCCTCTCGTTCTTTCGCATAAATATCAATACAGGTGCATAAATTTGTACATCTGCTTTTTCTTGACAGTGAGAAATCTTCGTTTTACGATAAATTAGCCTCATAACTTGTCTTGATACACTTGCAGCAACCGTGCTATGTGTTCTTGCAAGCTTTTTATTCCACTACCATTGTTCTTTGAAGAGCCTTGTAAATTAATGACAAGTCTTAATGGTCTTTCAAGAAACTGGCCTGCTCTTCCGTTAGGCCGAACTTTCCTTCCTTTTCTTCCTACACCGTTTTTAGTGAAACCTAGTCCCCATCTTCTTTTACCACTCGATATAACACTGCGAAACTCCGTATAGTGGTTTGAAGCATATACCTCTTGAAAAACACAGCTTTCTTTGGTTTGAGCTTTTTTCTAAAGAAAATAACAAGAAGAAACGTTAAGAAAATGCAGCAAATCTAGTTATACATAATATAATATTAAATCATAAATCTTATATATAATCTAAAGACGTTATTTTAGGTTCGACATCGACAAGTGAATTGCGATTTATAGCAATACCGCGTACGTGAATCAAAATGCATTGTTTAAAAAGCTTGTTAACAGGCACCAAGTACAGTAAATTTTTTATAATAAGATCGAGCTTTTGTATTACCAAAGGGTAGCGTAACAAGAACAACTATAAAGAGGAAATTTATTCGTTTTGTTTGGATTAGAATAAATATCGAATTATCAGGCAGTCGAATCTTTGAAAGCTTAACCAGTAAAGAAGTTTAGACATTGAAAAGTTAACCAGTATAATTAGATTTAAACAAAAAAGTTATGCAATGTTGTAATATCAAAAGAAGCGAGGTCTGATTTTGAGCACGTCCTCTCGAATGAAAGAGCTCACACTATATAGACAGACAATATACATAAGCACTATCTTAACACTTTGGTTAAAGAATGAATGACTAAACTGAAAGAAATATTGTACAGGGTAGATGTGAGAGCTTTTCTCTGTATGACGACTCTGTGTGTTCACATGAGAGGCTGTCAGTGCCTATCAGTATTTTAGCGTTCGATCAACCACGTGCATCATTTTAACCAAGTGCCTGCCCTCGATGCAAGACAGAACTTGCGTAATAGATTAATGTACATCTAAACTCGAATTATCTGTACAAAGCAATAAAATAAATTAGCAGTTTGTTTTGCGAAGATTTATAGTCGACCTCGACCATAAACCGTACAGTGAGTATGAATGAGATGCGGAATCAACGGTCGGAGTTTGTTGAGATTTAAGCGGATATCTTCCGATATGCTAGCTTGAATGCTGACGATACCGGCAAGTAGGCGCACACGTCAAACGGAGAACAAACTCTCTGTCTATGAACGTTGGCATGAAGCGGCGTGAGGTGGCTTCCTCCCGACTGAAATGCCTATGGGCAAAACTTACGTCCTACTAAATACAAAACAGTTGAAAATGTGGAAAGACTGAAAGTGTGAAAGACTGAACCGAAGTGTGGAAAAACTGATCGTGTGAATGAATCAACTGAAGTGTGGAAAGACTTATAGTGTGAAAATAGCTGTATTTGATAACTGTGCGAGTATCTTAAGCAAAAATGTTAGAACAGGATGTGCTGGCAGCTCTGCCTTCATAGAAACCTAGAAGCATTCCACCATAGTCTGACTTGAAACTAAAATCTCTCACGCAACAGGATAGCAATATTTTAAGGTAGCAGCATTAATATCTCTTAGCTTCAAATCTAATGCAGTTTAAACCAGAGCAGCTTCTTGGCCAAAAAATTTGCTTATCATCTCAACAAACTTTTTTCAAAATTTTCATTTTTAGCCTAGAGAAAAAATGTTTCGTGCAGAGTTCTATTCTTGCACCCAACCTACGTGCAATTATCCAAAAAGGCCTTCTGTGCATGCATAAAGATAGACGAAAAAACTCCTCCGCTTTCCAATACGAAACGCATTAAGGGTTGCAACATCCCCCGCCTCTGGCTACCCCTCTCTACCCTACCCCAGCCTCGCATTAATGCATGAATCCTGTTCACCAACCTCCAAGTCACTATTGAATCGCAACAAACATTACGAACAACAAAACCATCTCTATGTGTAACCACAATACGGTAACAATTTTCTAATTGAAAAGCCCGTTCATGTACAAAAACAGGAATAAAAAATATGCTACGTATGGCAATATTCATGTGACCTGTAGACTGTGCAAAGGTTTGAAAACGCACGATGGTGACTCAAAATAAACAAAAGTCACGACAAGTCGCACAGCGTAGTGCATCCTCAGGTTACCATTGTTATAAATAGACATCAAATTTAAATAGGAATCGACAGTGAAAATATTATTGACCTAAATGACGGTCATGTTATATTCCGTTGAATAATTCTAACACTATACGAGACTGGTTTCCTACAAAGCAACTGTATGAGAACACTTAAGCGGATCTAACTGCGCCACACCAGTGGCTTTCCTGTTAAGCAACGGACCGAATTCCAGACCAGCTCTAAACAAGTGTAATCCTCGCTGTAGTGATTAGTGTAGAATGCTTTTAAAATGTTGCCATTGAAAGTGAATAAGACAAGTAAAGAAATTGTTTCGGATGTACGTAAGAGATAACAGTGTTTTAGATCGTAGGAACACAGACAAGATCCCAAAGTTCGCGAAGACAGGCACAATATGAATTTACGTAACAGTCTAGATTCTCCTTAGCATTGGCGCTATGCTTGTAAATAGTTGTTCATCAACGTTATTTTTAGATATATAAAAATATTTCTTTGTTTTGTTTGAAACAAATACTTGGTGGCACAACAGTTAAACTTGGAACGATTATGATCCTATTATCATCGCATGTAAAGTAGGTGAAAGGCACATTCTGTCAATAGCTTCTCCTTTTCATCCCATAAAAAGAATTGAGATGTGAAATTGAATTCCTGATTTTCCTACCTTCGTTGCCGAATGAACATGCAGAGAAAGTTGCATACACTGTTGAAAAAGCTATCTACTTAAACAAGATGCTACAGGTAACAGAAACGAGAAAATTAAGATGCAAATAAGTCTCTTACCATAGGGATGCCTATCGGTCTTCCCGATCGACCAAGACAAATGTAGTGATTTGTTAGGTTACTTCTTATTCGCACACGTCCAAAGCTGTCCGATTGGATGATAAGACGAGCTGTGAATAAAAAATCAACTTTCAGTACACATCATGAAATCAGACCCCAAATTTAATGAACCTCTATAGTTTCTGAACCTCTATAGTAAGTGAAAAAATAATATAAAAATAACTACCAAAGAAGTCCTCAAGGATCTGTCCTTAGCCCGTTGCTACTTAATTTTTATTACGCTTATGGATTCAGTGAACAGTTTAGTGGATTTAAGTTATTTTTCAACGTTCACAGCTCGATTACCTAAAGATAAGTGGAAACATAATATTTTGAATGCAGCGGAATCACACCATAACGAATTATGCAGGGTCAAAAAAGTCCGTTATAGCTGGTTTGCTGGACAGGGAGCATTCGAAAAAGCGGAATTACGCGGTACTTTCAAAACTTTCGGTAGATACGGGGTTGGTAAAGGAGCGATAAAAAGTGAACAGCAATGACCATTACGGATATAAAGCAGAAAGAAAATCAAATTGGAGCTCATTTACAAGCAGTAAAAAAGGCGGTAAGATTGCACAGTCTATTAGGAATTAGACACCTAATTGAGAAGCAATTATGTCTGGAAAGGATCGAATTTCATGCTGGGTTCAGGACCTAAAGAGACGCATCAAAATGATTCGTGTGCACTTTCGAGATTTATGGTTTCGACACTTGTTACGAAGTCTGAGTTACGGGGGTATTTTTAATGAACAAAACAGAATACACCCCCTTCCAAGGACGAAGTAGTATTGCATGCCTTTTCCCGACGCAAAGAATAATTTTTTTATTTGAGGAACCATCTGATTTGACGAAGGCCACTGCTGTTCACTTGGTAAGACAATCTTCATTCACGAAATTGTACAACAAAACAGACAGGGTTCGTGTGGCAAGACTATTGTCTTCAGAGTCCAAAGTGACAAAAGTTCAATTTCCACCTCCCAGTCCTTGAAACAAGAGATTGCATTGAAGGTAAAAAAGGACCTGGTCCAAGGTGACCCTCTCAAGAACGGCTGAGTGGAGTCTGTGCCGATTGGAAAATCGATTCAGATCTTCAAAAGAAAATGCAACAGCAGAAATGCCAGCGCAGACACTAGACTAAAGAGAGCGTGGGACACAGTGCCAAAATCACGCGCTATACGTGTTAAAAGTTGAAGAGACATATTAACCGACGCCAAGGCGTCTGGGCTTTGGCACAGGAATCCACACATGCATGAGAAGCGATCTACAAAAACATCATAACATCTCTGAAGGCTTGCATGATATTGTTGACCTGACAAAAATAATAACAATAAATGAGATTGTTTATGTGAGTTTGTGTCACGTAAAAATTGAGCATTGGAGTCACGCTTTTTAGATAGGCCAAATTTGACTATGCACGCAAAAGCGTGACTAGTGAAAGTCATGTCACGCTCTAAAAACACTTCAATGTGCATGCACTAAAACGTCGACTCTACTCTAATAATGAGAGCTGAGGAGTCGTTAACAAAAACCGTACGGGTTGGGCGTTCAGCTTAATAACTGTGGTACAAATGACTCTCCCCCTAAGGTCAATAATCATAAGAACAACTATCGCTAAAGGCGCAGCTGTGAACTCCGTGCAAGTCTCGATCTCATTTGAATCTCGTTTCGAAGCTGTATCAAAAGAGGCCAGTAGCTCTTCAAACAGATTGCACAACGACCAAAAAAAGGACCCATAGGCTGCCAATCTTGCGAGATGAGGATAGACGATCCGTGCAAAATATCGTTAAAATTATAAATGAAATCAAGGCTTTACGCCTCCATAAGTGTGGGAAAATGGGCTTCAATGCTCAAGTACTGGGTCACGCTTAATATCAAGATTGAAATGTTTCAATCTAACTGTTAGAGAAAATCGAGCATTAGGAACTAGCCTCAGGCCATTAATGTTACAGTGTGTTGCGTTATATGCAGGGAGACAACAATTGCAGTTTTCTTTGCAAAGCTTAGTGCGGAATGCTAGGTATGACGCTGTAAGCCATGAGTTGAAGGCCAACCCATCAGAACAAAACCGTAAACAAAGAAAGGTTGGGTTAGAAAACAAAGCTTTGATTAAAGCAAGGAAGCACCGAACCTAGTGTATATATCCTATAAAATTTTATCTCATAATTAATTAATTTAAGCTATCAATCTAAAAGAAAAAGAATTAACACTTTCGTGATTACCTTAATAAGGAAATCTGGCATGGGAAAACTAGAATACAATGACCTTCACGCGCAGAATTGAGTCTATGATTCACTTTGAAGTGGAAAGAGCACTCCACAAAAGTGTTTAAATGCAGCCAATGGTGATTTTACTTATATTTACAAGATAGGAATCCGAAAAGATCAATATCTGAAGGAAAAATTAAGAGTTCTCAGATAAATTAGGGCATAAAACATCTTTCATCACTTTCTCGAGTAGCTTATGTTTCCACTTAATCGACACGATGTAGCTGTACAGTACTTATTAAAAGCGATTCAAGAACTTGTGATCCACTTATGATAGGATATAACTATAAGAAGCAAGTAACTGTATTGGATTTGACCCAATTGAAGTTTTAAGACTATGATTCGTGAGATAAAGCTGCCCTTGTATATGTAGCAATTTTTCAATTGTTTGTCTGAAGATAGAAGAGTTTAAGACATTGCAATCCGGCTTAAGTAAAAAATAGCAGAGAAAGTTTAAGTAGGAAGTTTGCTAACGCAAAGCTGCTTAAGACTAAACATACAAAAATAGAGCTTGGGCAGTACATAAAGTACAAAAATAAATGCAGGCAGGCAGGCTAAAATAGGTTTCATCTTTAGGCAGTCTTGTGATCTCCTTTGATGACCAGTTGTGGCTCTAACAGCGCCTGTATGCGTCATGTGTGATGTACTTGTTCGAGAACATGTTCTTTTAGGTGTCCTGAGAAGGCAGCAGAGGTGCGTGTTCTCTATGAGTTAGCTTGCTCGTGCTTAAGTTGTGCTCAAGTTGTGATCAAGTCGTGCTTTAGTATGCTCATCGTAATATTCCTCAAAAATTGTCTTCGTTTGACTAATATTAAGCGACACAACGATTGTCACGATTTGAAGAAGGATTTCTCTTTACGATACAGTCAGATACAGAAAGAGCTTCTAATGAAAGTCATTAGAGGTCATCCACAAGAGGTTATCCAAATAGAGAAAGTGTTAATTGATTAAAAAGTTGGGTAGAGAATACTAATAGATAGATATTTGAGTCGCTTTCATTGTGTGACTTTAAAGTACTTCAGGACGGTTATAAAGTTAGCAGTAAGCCATTATATATTATTACAAACTAAAAAATGGTGGCGTTTACGTGCATTTATGCATGGCAATTTGGCCTAACCATTGCATGATGGCAGGGTTTATCTATTAGAATTGTTGTAATCACAACTAAACATAGAACAAACTACCAGATGCGCCTGTAAGCTGCTCATAGAATCAAGCCTTTGCTAGAAGTGAAAACAAAACAGAATCTGGGTCCGAACCACGCGACTGCCTTCGACATAGATCAGGTTCACTAAAGGGCTAACACACGCAAGTTATCCAAACAGAGATTTAAAACAGAAACATTGAGGGTCGAGAAGGATTAGACATAAAGGCAGTAATACCCGAAGACTCTGAAAGCAATTTGAAATTTGGCCTTCGAATCACGCAAAAGTAAATAGAAATAAGAGTTTTAACAGAGTGGAGCACAAATGAAAACATATATTATTCGAAGCTCATCGCGATCTTTGACTACTAAGACCAACGGATTAGGTGTTGAGACAAACCTTTCTTTTGCATTGAATTAAAATGAGGCTTGTCTTCTTAATCTAGTTCGGGTATCAGAAGCCTAAGCCTATCCAAATTTTTAAGATATCTTTACAACATGCCATTGTTCTCTTCTTGCCATTTTGTTGCTTATAATGAAAGAGCCGATTTTTAGTCAGAAAAGTCCACCCTGAACGGATCAGATCTCTATTCACCTACTTGCTAACAGCATTATCTCGAAACAATCTATCTTAATAAACACAAGTAGAAGTTAATGATCACTTCCATTGATGAATGCCACACTGTTCTATCAATTAATGTGCGAAATCTCTTATGAGAAAACAAGGTATTTTAGAGCATCTCGGGGTTATGGTCAAGCGAATATCGTGGCAGAACGTAAAGAGAAAAAGTGGCCTTGCAGCTGCCCTGAAGATGAGAAGCTTTCTCACTGCAATGATATACAGTGTCGTCTATTCATTTTTCTCACGGTATCTGTATAGGGTTAGAAAATATATCTAGGGTATAAACATTTTATCAAAGTATAATGGTAGTTAAAGTGGATGAAGCGAAATGTTACATGATCAAAAGCAGAATGATTTTAAGTGCTATTTGATCTGTTTTGTTATGTCTAGTGCTGTTTCTTCCATCGCAAATCGTCCTCCACAACATCAATCGTTCCCATGTTCCTATCGAAATTTTCTCACACAAATAAACCACCACACAACATTAAAAAGGAAATAATCGACAGCTTATTTTTACAGTGCTCAACATAAAAATTTACCATAGCAATGGGTTTGTTATTCATTAAAGCAGATGTTATTGGTGGTATGCAAAAGATAAAGAAAACAAAAACACAGAAAAGGGGCCGAATGTTTAGTTAAAAACAGACAATTTACACATTGTTTATCAGTGAGTAACGGAAAATTTTTTACGGTCTGTACAGATCAGAGGACCGGCAGATTAAGAAAACATAGGACATCCCAATAATGAGGAGCATGGAGATTGAAAAATGGATGTTATCTTATGAAAAAGCAGTAAGCCACCCGTTTCCTTGCTCACATAAAGTCATATTTGCAACGCAAATCAATACAGGAAATGATCGGAATAGTCGCGTGGAGGAGGCGGCAGTTTTTCATTAAATCGCTGCTTATATACAAGCTGATACAGATTTGGTCATTGAGTTCTCCTTGATTAAAATTCATTTGTTCAACTTCATCCTATTACATGCTTTTAAGCTGTCTCTCATACATACAGCACAGCCCTTAACGCGAGAACATAAGTCGATGTGCTACCTTTTTGTACCGCACAGGGGAGTCAAATTACACTGGTAGTCTCCTTGGTGGTCCTGCCTGAGAAAGGGTGGCCAGTCACGTAGTTTCACGCATTTAAAATAAGCTTAGGCCTGGTGCGACTCGATCAGGGTGGGGGCATTGCAAACAAGGCCAATGAAGATATCAAGACACATAAAACAAACTGAATGTTTCTTAAATGAAAGCACTGTCTTGTTAAATATCATTTTAAGTTCTTTGATCTTGAAAAATTCTTCAACATCTGGGGTTATCGAGGTAGGCATCAGTAGAATAAATCGGGGTTGATCCCTACACCCCTCTTTATTGCCAAATCACAGTTGCGAGAAGTACATCTAGACTTACAACGCAGTTGCAGAACATTACTCCTTTTCTAGCACCATAGAACAGAAACAACCAAACGAAATTTGAAAATGGCAGTAAATCAAGATGGCGGATTGCAACTGACGGCAAGGAACGTTCGTTTCATGCTGTTGCCAGCACGTTGGGAGAGCTATTAAAACATGAGTTGCGGATTATTCACATGAAGTCGTATTTCCCCTGAAATCTGTTTTCGATCGAGTCTCGGTTACATGGATTTCCTTCTGCAATCAGTACACCATGGGAGTGATCCAAAGATCACAGAATAAAAGAATGATTACTTTAAGGATTCTCTACCGAAGGAAAGCGTGAATCCGCTAGCAGGTGATGGATGAATGAATTGGTCATCAAGATCACTGCCTAAGCCTAAAGCGTTTCGGAGATAGAGGCGTTTCGGAGATAGAGCGCGGTAATTTCGGAGATGGAGGTCGTATTCATTTGTCACTCTCTAAGTAGGATGCGATAGTGAATGTAGGCGGTTGTGGGGGGGGTAGGGTAAAAAAGAGCTTAATCTGGGGGAAAAGCGAACAGAGTTCTTAGGAGGAATGCAAACAGCTTCTGCATCGACTTTTAATGAAGAGTTCTTTCCGTAACAAATGTTGCCATTCGTTTTGCATCTAATATGCATTTACCCTTCTTATTATTGTTTTAGAAATAAAAAAGCACCATGCCAAAAAAAAGGCATCCAAGCAATGCATTTCAATACGTAATATAAAGGGAAACCGTGACATGTTCTTCTTCGTAGCTACCGAGACACTGTGATGTTAGGTATTTGATTTGGAACTGGCTAGAACTACTAAAACTAGCTTGAGATTTTGAATTGTTTGATACAAGGTATTAAAGAAATGGGGTTGAACTGGGAAAAAGATGGAATATTCACTACTAACTGGGTTAGTCGGTTCTGGCTTCTTTTCGAGTTTATTGGCATGTTAAAGACGAGGTATTGTGACGGCGTACACCGGGTATTTATTGGTTCCAGTCAGCCTTATGGCAACGGGGAAAAGTCAACAAACTAAGGATGAGAAAGGGTTTGTTAGAGAATAGCCAAATGAATGCTACCCAACGTGTTGATTAAAATTCTATAGGCGCTTTAAAAAAACAAGGATGACAAAGGGGGCTTGTTTTTTGCTAAAAAGATATGTCTCTTGGGAAACGAGCTCGCATCAAGGTTCGTGACAAACCTGACAGGTTAAACAATTAAGTGTTAATAACGACGTTTAACAACGATAGCCATAGAGACGGGGAAGACATTTCCCTCGCAAAAGCTTCAACAAGAAATGTTAATAAGTTAGATTATGATAGTTAGGCGGGAAATTCAACTGTAATGTAACCATAGAAACTGATAAATTTATGGAGCTCGGAGGTACTGAAGATACAAACGAGCGCCAATGCACGAGGGTGACAAACCTGAAGACTTTTTGAGGTTCGCTAAATCCTATAACGTAAGATTCAGGGTCCTAAAAGAGTTAATAAGGATGCATTAAACTTACTTGGGGGTTTACACCAATAACTGATTTGTATAACTTGTTAAAAAATGCGGTTGGGTTTAAAGACAAAAAGAAAATTGTGCTAACAGCATTAGTCCTGTATCATGAATTATTGTGGGATTTCGAAGAGAATAATCGTTAAAGATTGTAACTATTACATGGATTGTGAAAGAGACAATGAATGAAAGGTTGCAAAAGAAGCAAGCGACAAATCGAAAGCAAATCTCACCATAAGGGGAGCCATCTTCTCCCAAAGCATCTACTCTTCTTCCGATAATTTGTACATGAGCTCTACTTGATTTGGAATACAACTGCGTCACTCTTTCAAAAGGAACACTCTTTTCGTCCGTCTTTTTCTTTTCTGCCTCATAATGATCGCGAAATCTCTCGTGCAATGCCCTATACTGAAGGGAAACCGTAAAACGCAACATTAAAATAAAAAACTGGTGACGGAGCCATAACATGACGGGAGGTTAAGCAAGAGCAAGCTGCTCTCATCCAGCACATCAAACCGCAACTGGCCCCAGGTGGTTAGAGCCACGCAAATAAAAATCCTTGCCCTGGTACGGCATACCAGCCCCTTTCCTGAACTATTTTGTCTTTTGATACAGTCTTTTTATTGGGCATACAAAAGATGGCATAGCATTCCATTGTTGTCAAATCCCAAAATACATTTAGATCACTGGAAATTTAGATTGATTGTTTATACGTACAATAAGAGTAAAGAGGGCTCTCACAATCGCAATGTTTCCATGGCACAATAGGCGTTACACTTCTCACCAAGTAAATGGGATAGAATCAACCTAACAACTTATGTATCCTTTTCGGATTTGTCGTGGCTTCAATGCACTGAGCAAATATTTTTGATTTTACAGTCCAAATATGTGATCTTCTTAGTCCTGAAGGAAATAACAGTTTAATTTTTCGGCTTTGTTGAAAAGATGCGTTCTTTTGAAAAAAGAAAAAGATTTGGCCCTTGTGTAGTTGGTCAGGGCATGCTTCTCTAGAGGAGAGGGGCAACTTAATGGATAAACTTTTCTTCGATCTATGGTCCATACACAAATATGCTTGGCAATACAACAATCGCTTGATAATTGTTCATCAAAGTTTTGATGGTTCACAATGTATTATAAAAATGTCAAAATTACACATTGGGGTGGGCAACATTTTTCTTTTAGGTTTCAGGCATGGGCAATTTCTTTTTTTTCTTATGGTAGAAAAAACTTCTTTAGTGCAACGAACCTGAACGAGTTTATGAGGGATACATCATGCTTCATGGAATTTTATTTCAGCTATCCAATGGAACACACAAAGAGACACAAGTACCAACAACGAATTGAGCCAACTCTGACCCCTAATTTATAAGATTACACTATTCTAACAATGACTTAAAGAGGGTTGTCCGTTTTTAGAGGAATAAACTTTTTTGACCATTCAGATGGGAAAATAAAACGAAATCCTTCTGAGAACATTTGCGGAGCATTAAAATTGTATGAGATTTAGAAGCAATATAACTGAGGAAAGTTTTCGGAAAAAATCATATTATTGTAGATTTGAGTATAAAGGACAATGACCACAGGGTAAAAAGTATTCTGATTGGAAAAGGTCCTCTTTGGGCATAGCGTGCTGAGCATGGATTTTCAATGAAACTTTTAATATATTGACAACTTTACATTACTGTTGAGTTTTGCACTGGTATGTGCAAAAACCTGAGGGATCGAGCAACAAATCACTCCATAAAAATCTCGTACACCTTTGATGGGGGTCAAGGGATCCAGATTTTAGTTTCTTTGTCAAGCAAAGTTGTAAATTCGTCTAATAAATTCATCACAACTGGGTCAAAATAAAAGGGAACTGGACGTTTGACAAGCACTGTCTATACAACGGTTAAGGCGGCATCACGACATACGACAACACGAAAATGCTTACCATATGGGGTCCTGACCCATGAATATGCAAAAACCTGAAATGAATAAGACATAGCGATATTATCTTCTGCTAGAGATCATGTTCAGGAATCTATATTCAAGATTCCAATATCGACTATGGAACTAAATTAAAACCACTGGAGGAAAATCCATGTTGATATATTGCATACCCTGGGTAATCCGTTAATATCTTTATTTGAATTATACCCTCGACTCTTTATCGGCTTGGATGACGAAATTCTGTTTTCAAGTATTCTGTATTAGCGGTTTGGTTAAACTGCAGCTTCACGATATTGACACAAATAGGGAAAACTATTTCGCGAGTAAATACGACACAAATTCAGACATGCTGCGGCTACACTAAGCCAAAATCGATATAGTATCGAAACTTTACCAGCACTCGAGCAGATGTCATCATTTCGGAGGTATAGACCCAGCCACGTATTGTTATATCAATCAATATGCCACGAGGTTCTTTTTCGAATAACAGATTCAAAATAAATTGTAACATACCAAAGAATGGGGATCTATTAAAAACGAACAAAATATCTAAAAAATCCTAACCTTAAAAATACTGTCAGTATAACTTGCCAACAAGCCAAGCAATAGGCAGACTGCGTTCTCATTGTCCAGATGCAAATGTGTACCCCTAATGTGTGTCCAAAATCTTTTAAATCTTTTCTGTAATCTGCAAGCAATATACACAAACCATCAGCAAGTCAAAAGGTTGTAAGGACCAACATCGATGGGTAATCAGGTAATGTCCACCTCAATTGAGAAATATACGATGTTAATTGCTTGTCCGTGACCTATAAAATAGCGTCTGCTACTGATGCTCACAAATGAGTAACTGGAGCTACGCACCGTTCCTGTACTCTTCACCCCTGCTGGCTGACTCTAAGCCAATTTTCTCACGGTATAAAACGATTACCGGACAATCGGTTATTGGCAGGAATAATTATCAGCAAAATAAATCTTTCATTGGGCTCTCTTGGTAAGAATAGCAACCGATCCCGAGTGTAATCGAGCTTTTCTGAACTGAGCTACCCAGATCAGGAAATATACGACCAGCAAACAAAGGCTATTGCGACTCTAGCTAAACCATAGACCGACTGAATGTTTTGAACGCGGGTTAGATTGAATTCTAGTTATTTAGCTGACCGCACAGAGTGCCGTCAAAGCTTGAGCCTCTTCACACCTTTCAGAAACTGTAATGAGCTGTCAATTTGAGGAAAGAAAATATTTTGTTAGTCACAGAGGTAAAACCTATTACCACCTGAAGATGAACAATTTTGCGAACAAAATACTTCCTGAGGACTTCAAACCGATCCGGGGACGCTTTCCGCGTGCATCTCCGACTTCGGTACCCGAGATCCTGTTATGAAAAGGCGATTTGAAATGACATAATCATATAAATCGCATGTGAAAATATGTTCGAGTCAATTTTTAAGAAGGTAATTGACAATTGATTTAAGACTTATTCACAGATCGGGCATTTGAAAAGGATTTAGTGAAAGGATGTTGGGCTTTGAAGAAGAAATTACTTTTTGTTGCATGGTTTAAGACTTTAATCAAGGTATGGTTTTGATAAATCCGCGAATAACCAATAAGCTAGAACAAACAGCAATTTCAGACCCACGGAGTAAATGATCACCTGAGAAAAATACTTGAAAAATTAACTCAGATCACAACTAACAATTAACAGTAATCTAAATCTATTTTTTTCCAAAAAATTTAAATTTCTGATAATATTTGCCAATATATCTGATAATATTTCTGATCATATTTTCCGAATTAATATTAATTTTTTCAGGTTAACCTAATCAAATTTGTCTAAACTAAATCTCCGTCGTTGTAACAGCTCTTAACTACCTAGAGAGCTTGAAAAAAGTTATTCCGATTCTAATTATATTTTGAAGTGTTGACAATTCTACCCACATGAAACAATATGAATTTATTGATAGATCGCAACAAGTCAAAAGGAACAATGTAAAAAAATATCAGCTCTAAGAAATTTTTCTCTAAAACATACCTACTAAGTGGAGGTATGACGTATTTTAATGAACTATGCAATGAAGCAGTAAAACGTTTTTTTTTCAATTAATTGTAGCTACCATAAAACGATTCAAATAAGACTCTAACGCAAGAGTTCATTCTCCGTCCAAGAAAGTTTCAAACAATTAACTCCCTGCTACTAAATTAAAAAAACTTTCAAAGTTCCTCCTTTTGTTAGCTTTTCTCTTTTTCGTGTTTGTAAAAATTTTCTAACATTTTAAATCTGTGATTTTTAGGGCTAGCTTACAATCATTGCTTTTTCTCTGGTTATTCGATTCTCGTAAAAGGGGTTAGCAATATTTGTCGAGAATTAATGGTAAAAAAATCTCTGAACATAAAGAACACGAGCTTTAAAAATGTATTTAAGAGGGTCGTTGAAGTTTGCCTTTTTTCATGGTTGTTACTTGATCTCCCTACAAGGAAACGTAAAATACTTTTTCCACGAGGCACAAAAAAGAAGAGGCCTCCATGCCAGACTATAGAAGAGGTGACACTTAAAGCAACGAAACAAAACATCGTCTATGAAAATCAGTTTTTGTTGCTATCTTAAAACATGCTCCGCAGGACGAGAGACAGATGTGAATTAAACTCCGTCATACAGGGAACACTGTTTGACAACCCTTTACTATAGACGCGCACAATATAATTGCAATAAAAGATATAGGGATAAAAAATGGAAGAATTCTTTATCCGAAAACAAACGAAGGTAGCTGAATATGAATCGTGAAACAGCTTGTCGATGAGATCTTTTGCATTATTCCATCGGAAAAGAATGTAGGATCAAATCCACTGCAAAATGATACCATTTAATAAGAAGCTACCTTTCAAAAGACTTTCTCACACCAAGCTGGTCCTAGGCAGACCTCACCTTGCTTTAAAAAACTGCAGCAATGCCGTGTCTTTCGTCCACAAGCAGTAAATAAAATACTGTAGTTTTTCTACTCCTAAACAATTCTCCTCATCTCACAGCTCTTTGTAATTCTTAGATGCTGACATCATCAGCGGTAAATTACACTGCCTGACTATACAAGGACCTCGCCAATTTTAATGAGAAAACCATACAACAAGCTTGAAAATCAAGCAATTAAGTAAGAGAAAGGGAGGGGTCAATCGAAAGAAAAAACAAAAACTGTGTTTATAAGGTGCTAAGTGGCAATTAAGGCAGTTTAAATATTAAACTAAATGGCTGTAGTTCTTGTCTCAAGAGTTTCAGTTTCAAAAGAAACTGTCAATGGCAATAACCTGTCATACGATCTGACGCTAGTGAATTTATGAACATCGGTCCTAAAAACAGGTGGGTGGGGTTCGCAAAATTAAATTTTATAGAGAATGGGATAAAACTAAAAAGTGACTGTTGAATTCTTTCCAAATGACTTACATGTAACAACGCAATGATTGCTATTTTCTTAGCAAAGGCTGTATTCTCTCATACATGACGCCTACTATTGGCAAGCGTATACGATTCTCTACCTACACCATACTAAACCACTTCAGGCCAGTTCAAACCATTTGAAGAGCCAAATTGGAGATAGACACGGGTATTGTGCACCTTTAATCCTATCAACCCTCGAGTCCATGCCGGTGGCCTAACAGCCTTATCGTACGCACCCCCCCCCCCCTGCAATAATCATGCGCAGGCAGAAAATGCTATAAAAATTTCTATATACAACGCTAGGCGTCTGCGCCCCCTGAAGTTCAGGGGATGCAGGGGTTGTTGTGACGTCCGTGGTCCATGCCCAATCGTGAGTTTTTTAAAGCTTGAATTACTCAAATATTCTTATTCCAGTTTCAAATTTCTTCCTCAATGCTTTTGCTTACTTAATTTTTGTACACGAACAGTGTCGAGAGCTATTATTTTTCAGGATGCGACAGGCTGATGTAACAGGCATTTAATGCAAAAGATGTAATCAATTGAAAACATGATTGTTGTGATTAAAATTTTGATCATGATTATGATGAAAATGGTTTTTGGCATCCGTATTAAAAAAGCAACAGGTTCTATCAGCTAGGACAAACAATCGAAATGTTCCCTGTGAACTCGACGAAAGAACTATCTTCTCGTGAAAGAATGCATTTAATACCCATCCGGTCGGTAACTCTCTTTATTGCAAACGGAGAAATCCGACAGCCCAACCCAAAGTGTCGTCACAAAATTGTCATGTTGCGACAGTCATGAGGGGGGCCACACAGCGGATGGAATCTTTCGATTACATCTTCCGAATAACCAGGGACTTGCACAAAAAGCACGCTGAGAAACAATTTCTTACGTAAAATGCCCACACGACATTACTTCCCGCCATTTCGAGCCAAAACAACTAGCAGCTTAGCTCAGAATAGCATAGGAATTCTGTGTCGAGCTGTTTTTGAAATCACACGCATTACATCATTACCACAAATAAAAACAAAAACAATAAAGCTTGCGTCATTGAACTGCAAGGGAATTGCTAAAATTATCAACTGAGCTAAGAACCTTTAGGATGACTCAAAAACATAACATACGGATGACTACCGTGAAAATAACGGGAACGGAATGGCCTGCGTGAGTTGTGTGTCTGTAATTAACGCGCTAGTTAGAAGCAGTTATGGAGTTATGATCACTGTGATAATACAATATGGATTGTGCCTACTATACGAGAATGCAAAGAAAGCACTTCTTGGCAGTCTCTGAGAGATTGGAGGCGTATAACCCACCCACTGAAAAATTCTTTTTACATACAAGAGGTTGAATTTGATGAATTCCAAAACAGGTTAATAGATTGATTTGATTTTCTGTCCAGAAACCTCAGTTGGTGGACGAAGTTTATAGAAATATAAGTCTTACAAAAAAGGGTATTACAAAAGAACAATGTGACATGAATCCGAGTTGAATGTACTCGGCCAATGGACCGCCATGAAACAGGGAAAGAGGCAATATGAGTGTGTTTGTTGCAGACAACTCCCCGAATTGTTGATGTGATTACAGTATTCTTCAAAAGAAATCATTACAGTTTCAAAATGTCAATAGCTTTTCCCTGTGGTAAATGACGTAATTTGCAGCCCTATTTATGTGGCTACAGATAGTTTCTTCCAAGTGGTATACACAGTGGTATACAAGAATTAATTCCTTTATCAATTGTTAAGATGTTGACCTGACTGGGAAATACAAGCTCTAGCTAATGCAAATACTTGAAATCTTGATTTATTTAGGCAATTCGGACACGCTTACATCCGTGATCAGTGAAAAACTCCCTCTGTGTGAGAAGTGGATCACATAATCCAAAGTAAAGGACCCGGCAACAGCGCATGCTATTGTGGTGGTTTGTGTAAACCAATGCAGGGCGTACAGCCAGGTAGATCAACGTGGTACCACAGAAACTTATCTATCGCTGAATCCTGCTTTCCAATTGTCACGGTAATAATATTCTGCATGAATGGACGAATGAACAAGGGATAAACAGGGCGGAATATTTCGTGACAATCAATCAAACGATTGCCAAAATATAGATAAACAATCTCCAGTTGATAGCATGCCCGCCGTGAAGGGTGGGGGTGTAGAGGGTAATTAACCCAGGTAGGTTAGCTCACTGGGGCTTTTGATTCATGTTCCAGCTTAAAACAAGAATATCATATACAGCAACTAAATTGCAAAGCTTT